TTCAACCCCCGCCTGGCCGCTGTCCTGTGCCCCCTGCTCTGGGTGAGCCTGCTTGGGCAGGGGGGTGATCCCCGGAGGGCCCTGCCAGCCCCTGCTGTTCCCGGATTCTGGGATTCTGTGACTCATCAGAGTTGAAAAGACAAGAGGATGGGTACAAAAATTGCAACAGGGGAAAATTCAGCTGGACAATAAAGGAAGAATTCTTCCTCATGGGGGTTGGACCTCAGTCCTTGGAAATTTTAAGAACTCCATGGGACAAGGGCTGGAGAAACCTGACGTAAGTAGCCATTAAGGCTCTGAGCCCCTCTTGAGCAGTGGGGTGGGAATGGGTGAGCTCCCAAGGTCCCTTCCAACCCTTGACATTCTGGGATTCTGGGATTTGCTAATGGGAGAGGATCTGACCTGGTGCATGGAGCTAAAAACTTGTGTGCAATAGGTGGGCAAAACCCAACTGCAAACGTATTCAGGCTGCAACCCTGCCTTACAGCCAGCACTGATGGCTGCCATGACCCTCGTGGACTTCACCCCCATAGGAGAAGCAGCGGCAGAAGTGACAGACTGACTTTCAAAACAATGTTTGCTCGGTTGAGGAGAGGCTGGTGCCCACAGTGACAGGAATGAGATGGCTCGGGTGCTCCCTGTCTCTCTAGGGCCAGATTAAAAAAAAAGAAAAGCACATCTCTGCCGCTATTTGGTTTGGAGTCCAAATGATAGCCAAGCTCATTTATCACCGGGTCTTCAGCCTCTCCGGACCTCAGTTCCTAACCTGTCAAAAAGCACATTTCCCCTCTCCGGTGTCTTCTCTGGGCATGTTTTTTTCCCTGGATGCACACCCGAATCGCAGGCTCTATCCGCAAAGGGGTAGCACCACATTCAGGTGGGGCTGGCCCTCACAGTTTCACGAGATGGAAAGGTCCTCATGTCCATGCTTTCGGATACAAGGAATCCTTGCAGACAAGAGGGAATTAACTCTCATAGACGGAAGAACACTACAGCACACAAATCCCTGATACGCACCCCGCTGCTTTTAGTGCGTGATGAGACTGAAATGCAACCACCACCAAATGGGGCACTGCCACCGGTCCATTTGGACAAACCAGCTACGGTGTCTTGGGTGATGATGGTGCTTTTGCCAGTATCTCCATTGCTGCACTGATGTCTCCCTCTGCATCAATCAGTGCCTGCAAGTTTGCACCTTGGTCGTGGAAGCCCATGGCACTGAGCTGCTCCATTTGCCTCTTAAATCTGGCCTGTAGCGCCTCCTCATGCGTCTCCACCTGGCCTTCTTCTTCATCCTCATCTGACACCAAAATTGCATCGCACTCAGACATACTGCTTTGTGCCGAGTCGTCCGTGCTTTCCAGATCCAGCTCCACATGAGAGTCCTCCAAACTAAGTATAAAATCAGGTACTTCTCTGGAGAGGGTCTGTAATCCCAGCTGGACCTGTAGCAACGCCTGCAGTGCCCTGGGGTTTCTCAGCAGGGACGAAATCTCAGCGTTCTCCATCTCCGGTGGCAGCTGCTGTGCCTGGTGAGATGGAGAATTCCCATCGCTTGACACGTAAGCACTGTTCAGCAGCATTTGTGCTGGGCTGTCGGGGCTTGTTAACGCCCTCCCCAGGTTGTGCAGGAGTTCTGGGTCTCCTGCTAGCT